ATAATTGCATTTGATAGAGCGCTTTTCACGTCTTCTAAACGTCTCAAAGCGTTTCACAGAATATATCGTAAAGTGAATTGACTGTATATTTGTGGGCAAAACGCGGCAGCCAATTGCGCACAGCAGTGTCCCACAAACAGTCGTGAATTAAAAATGACCAATTTATTATTTTGTTTTTTGGAGGGATTATTATTAGGCGTGTGGAGTAAGGAAACTTGCCCAAGGTTTCGGCCTGCCTGGAATTAAACCCAGGTTTCCTGCTTGCAAGGTGAGTGCTCTAACCACTGAGCTACAGGACTGGGTAATAACATGGGGATTAATCTTACCCATTTCAATTTTCTTTTTGCCGATAGTGTTTAATGTGCACAGATCTAAGGCGGTAGCAATAGTTTACAATGCTGGCTGTTGGATCACAAGGAATTACGTGATTAAAGCTGCATTACCCTTGACCCTTTTGGATAAGAGTCCTGCTTTGCAGCATCAGCAAGGTCAAGGGCCCAAGCCATTGCTTTTTGATAGTGCAGCAGTGACAAATGCAGCGCATGCTACTATTGTGATTTTAAGAGGGCGTTTCAATTCGAGCAGCGCGACGTTATCTTTTGATGAACAACAGTTTACATTTACATAGTGTCTTTCATGTCAGGAGGACATTTCACAGGCAACATGTAGCTGAGTGGGAGCAATACCAGAACATTAGCAGAGCTGAATCAACCTACGTGCACTGCAAGTACCATGAAATGTGCAGATGTTATATTAAATATAAAGTAAAAACACCAGTTTGTGATGTGCAAAGTATACTAAATAACTACAGTATTTTGTCTGTCTTCAACTACTGAGTGTTGTACAGATATATTACAACTAATTGAAACCACTGAATTGGAAAAGACTTGATGACCTTCTCCTGTTCCTGTTTTCCTATTTTCTCCTGTATTATTAATCATACAACTTAGCTAAAGTAAATTTGTGCTGAGGGAGAACTGCTTTGTCAGAGGTGCTGCCCTTCAGATGAAAAGTTGCATTTGATATAGTGGCTTATCACAATGTTGAAACGTCTCAAAATGCTTCACATTACTGTAAAGTGAATGTGTATTTGTAGGCGAACGCAGCAGTCAATTTCCACGTAGCAATGTTTCACAAATTGAAGACAAATTTTAAATGGGGGGGGTTGTTGGCTAGGACAGCTGAGGACATTAAACCCAGATCCCATTAAAGAACCCATGACCCTATTTGCTCTGTCTTGAATTCAGCAACAAACTGAATAAGAACAATAAAATTCTAAAACAGATACATTCATCAGAGAACTCATTAATTCATTAATCTAACAAGTTTCTCCAGTACTGCCAGCATCAGGAACTGTGGTGAGTTAAATTACATTTGTTTTACTGTGTGTGTCTCTGGATTTATAAAATTCTACATCAGATGCAAGAATTTTATTATAATATTTGTCTTTGTATGTTTTTCACTACATTAGTTACATTTGCTGAAACTATGCCTTTAAAGATCACTATTGTGGTTCAAAGATTAACAAAGACAAATTTTAATATAATAATATCCTATAATGTTTCCTTGTGGGATTGATTCACCATTGAGGTCTCCACTGCTGATTTACTTCTTGCCTTACCCTGAAAGGTGATGTGATCGGGGCAGAGGATTGATCCACTGCTGGTTTTGTTCTGTGTTACAACTGGCCGTAGGCCAGGACTCTGTTGGACAGGACCAGACCTGTTAGTTCTTCCTTGATCTCCATTCCCTTCCCCCAACATGACAGGGAACACTGCACTCACCAGTCTGGCTGAGATCTAATGATACTCACCTTCCCAGGGCATCTTGAGTTCAAAGATCAATTGAGGCTGGTATTTCAAACTTGTGACCCTGCGCTGAGGAAGCCATGGTCCACAGCTACCACATTGGTCTGCATTAAACACAGCAATTCAGAGTAAAAATCAATTTCTCAAAGCGTGAGTTTGTTTTGAGGCATTAGCGTCCATTGAATATTTATAATATCATTTGTCCACAGCGATTTCAACCTCTACTTGAAGTCTTACTTTGTAAGATGTCCTCCCGACGTGAAAAGCGCTATATCAAATGCAAGGATTATTATTATTACTTTGAGCATTCAAACAGTGTTTTTAAAAATAAGTTTTAATATTTTTGAGATTTTCTTCATTTCGCAGTCTGATTGTTTAAAACAAATTAAAAGCAACCTTTCTGTCAGCTACATATATCAGTGATAAAATACTCCAAATGCTAAATAATAGATGGACCTGGGTACTGTTTTCTTTTCGTGGGTTGACTGATAATGTACTCTTTCTGGAGCCCTTTAATGATAACTATCAGTGATAAAATAAAACCCTAAGATCATTGGAGTGCTCTGGTCTTAGTCACAGGGATAGCCTTGTTGTAAGAAAAGTATCTGCAGCAGCTCATTAATATTTCAGTTGAAGTTGACAAGTTACCTTGCCCACAGACAGCATAATCACTCTGCCGTTTTGCACTCTATGCATCTGATTGTGATCAGATCAGACAAGACTAACACCAGTCCACAGGGAGGAATTTCTCCCTAGCAACCGTTATTCTTCCCAGTCAATGAAAAGCAACATGTGTGTGTGTTTGTAGGATGGAGGGGAGAAGCAAGGGGATTTTTCCATCAGGCGTTCATTTAGTTTAAAATTGTGCAAAAAAATCCACCCTGATTACCAAACACGAGTGAAGATGTCATTTTTCTCCGAGGAGCTTAGTGCTTCCTGTGGTGCAGTGCATTAAGCCTCCAACCACGTGAAAGTAGACTGGCAATACTAAACAGCGTTGTGATGAGCATCCCAACAGATCATTAGCAGATGAAGAGCGAGAGGGGGTTGAGATATATTGCCCTTATTAACACCCAATTTAGCGCTCTTAGTAATTCTCATGACCTAGCTTTGAGGAATGGAAAGGGGAAGGGGTAATAATCCCTTCAAAAACAAATAGCTAAATAAATACAGTAATAATAATTTGGTCCTCAATCCACAACTGTGGGACACTGATGTGCGTAGTTTGCTGTCACATTTCACCCACACAATATACAATCAATTCACTTTACAGTATATTCTGTGAAGTGCTTTGAGACATCTTGAAGACGTGATAAGGCACTAAATCAAATGCAAGGATTATTATTTTTAAGAGGAGTTCATAAGAAATGGTTTTGTAAGTGAAACCCAAGAGTTGTACATACTAACTGTTTGGAAGGTCAGGGTTACTGATGGGGAGTTGCTGCCCTCACTATCTGTGTTTGTTCAGTTAGCGTAACGCTGCCTATCATGTGAGGTTCCAAGTGTTTTGATGGAGGCACTGAAATCTGGCTAGACTGCATGCATCTCAGTGCAGAATGATTTCAGGGTCAGGTAAACTTGTGCTTTCGAACTCTCTCTGGCTCCTCGCCTAGGGAATGGAGCAGTATGATTTTGATTCAGTGATAGCTTATATAAACCACATTCATTCAAAAACTATGCTTTTATTTTTTTCCTGTGCTTCACACTCAACCCAATAGTATATACTAATAGCAAATATCCACTGAATTTTGCTCTGGTCAATTATAAATGGAACTGATGAACTCTGTGGTCAGTTTGGCTCAATTCACACCCCACACCAAGACATCAGCTCATATTTCAGGAAAACACTTTGGGGCAATTTGAATAGGATAGTAAATGGATCAAAACAGAGTTCCTACAAGTCCTGGTTACCGGAAGGCCTATTTGGACAACTCGGATTGTTTACGGTCAGATACTGACTTGAATATGATCTTCCTTACTTACATCCATTTTGCCATATATTTTAAAAGTCGTATTGATTATCATCCTGTTCAACATTTGGATAATTTTCTTATGAAATGTAACATTTTTAGACACACAGTTACTTACATCCTCTGATGGGACACCAGACGCCTGACATTTCTCTTGATCTTAGCCTTAAGATTCATGCAGAATTTGGAAACTAGTTTTCCACAGTCTCTTTTTGAGATATTGTAATTGGACAACCAGCTTAAAATTTAAGACTGAACTCGTGAATTTTCAAAAACTCTACATCTTAGATTTGAAGTCAATGGTCTTAAGGTTAAGAATGTGAGAAATTTAGAGTCTCTGAAATATAAGGCACAAAATCTCATGGGGGATTGGAAGTATTCTCTGTTTATTCGTTATAGCATGTGTATTGATGTGGACTGAACTCCAATGAACTTTGTTTGGTGCATTTAGAAAATTTCAAAACGAAAGCAGTTTTATATGTCTAATTTAATGTTACATTTACATGAAGTGATTTATAATTTAAAAACGATCTTCGATAGGGATTTTAGGGAGGGATAAATTTATTTAATATAGTGAACAGAATACAACAGCCCTTTACCCACATTAGTGAACAAAAGAGAAACCGGTAGATCTAAAAGAAAGTTATTTGTTGCTTTCTTTTTGTTGAAAAATCTGTTAGGTGCACATAACAAAGGCACTCAATGCGTTAGCATAATGTGCTTAGATTTCTGTTTCAGCATAATTCAAGTGATGCTTGAAAACATATTTTATGAACTTGTCAGGGTACCAGCTTTAATTTCCAGACCATGATTCATTGGAGGTTAAATATTACAACACTATGAATGCAGTTTAACAGTCTAGAGTGCCTTCTTCATTGGTAAGTGCCTGTAGCAGGGAACTAATGTCCATTTCAGTTCTTTCCCCAGCCTTTCAGATGGGAGTTGAAGCAGGAGTGAGTCGCAATGTGTAACGATCATCACTACATGTATTCAGATCCTTGTAATATTTATAATGGCACTGAATCTCAGACCTGGAAGTTTTCAATTATTAGAAAGCTGATTTTTGAGCACTCACTGAGCGACTCCTGGCACTGAGAAGCAAAAATAATGAGGTGGGAATTGTGACACCCTATAAACAGTCCCATATTTGGCCATATGCTGAAGGTGTTTTTTAACAACTGCAACCTGGAATAGGCTACCTACATATCCTCTTTAATAAACACATAGTGGATACATTTTCCTTTGCCCGTTAGGGGGAATTATTGCCTCTTGGAGGTATTTTTCAACCTGCTAGTTTTTGGTTTTCATTACTCTGTGCACCAATGTGATCCCAGGGACAACATGAGTTCAAGTTTTTTGTCAATAATCAGATAATTGTGTTTGGACATAATACAAAATGTCCAATGAAATATTGTCCAAGTACGTTTTCATCCACGTCTGATATTGATTGCTGTTGGTCCACCATTCAATTGCTCCTCGTCCTCCATTTGATTGAACCTGCCGGGAAAATAAAGTATAACAATCCAGGTTTTTTTTAAAATCAATATTCAGACAATTGTGTTTGAAGACAATGTATACACAAGACTATTGTATATCCAAACAAAAATAAATAAAACACATACATCTATGCCTGCAAGAATTTTTAAAACATCTCTTTCTTGTCCCATCCCTCTACTCACACTCCATCCAAGTGCTGCTGGTGTATCACATGATCTTACAAAACAAAAACATTTTGCACCACAGTTAAACAAAGTATTATCATAGATACACAAGAAAATCCATACGACGTACTCTAAACTTTACAACATCGTAACCCAACTGTCTATGATGTGCCCAAAACCATCACAACTTTCTCTGCAGACAAACAAAATCAACTGTCCCTGAAGAAAATAACCCCAATCTACACAACTGAAGCTGAAGAAGCCAAACCAACACCAAGTCCCTGAAGAAGCCAAACTACAGTCAACACAACTGTCCTTGAAAGCAAATCAACCACAACCAAAGCAAACCCAGAAGAAACCTTCTCAATTCAACCAAACCTTCCAGGAAGAAAAAAACTAAAACCTGTTAACATGATAAACACACCACAATACAGCAACTGCAGCAACGTAACACAACTGTCCCTAGTCTGTAAAAAAAAACATTTTTTTTCCTCCAGAGAAAGAAAATGAACTACCACTAGAGAAGCCAAACCATAACCAACACAACTGTCCTTGAAGAAACACCAAAACATTTTGTGCATCTGCCTAAGGAAACTACCCCCAGGCACTGTCCAAAGCAAACAAAACTGTCCCTGAAGAAACCCCCCAAAACACATGGAGACGTGAAATAAACAAAACAATAAACCTTACAGACAAAAATCAAACTAACCTCCCTGTACAATTCTACCTGTTGATTGCTGCCGATTTACCTTCCGATTGCTCCAAACACCCGATTCCTGGCCACAAAACTAAATATCGGTTCAGCTATTCATCAACTGAAGCAAATGTGCCCAGAGACACAATACACAACTGTGTCCTTGTACAGTCGTGCTCCTGGTGTACCATCCACCTGCTCCTGTTCATCATTCAATCCCTCATCTTAAAACGTGCAATTATAAGATAAGATTATAAGATTGTGGAGTCCTGTAGCTCAGTGGTTAGAGCACTCGCTTTGCAAGCGAGAGACCTGAGTTCAATTCCCGGCAGGTCAGGGCGAAACCTTGGGCAAGTTTCCTTACTCCACACACCTAATAATAATCCCTCCAAAACCAAAAACAATAATAAATTGGTCATTTTCAATCTACGACTGTTTGTGGGACATTGCTGTGCGCAATTGGCTGCCGCGTTCGGCCACAAATATACAGTCAATTCAATTTACAGTGTGTTCTGTGAAGCGCTTTGGGACGTCCTCCCGACGTGAAAAGCGCTATATCAAATGCAATGATTATTATTATTATTAACACGTCATTGGGGTTGAAAACTGGCAAAAACCCACAGCCGACTTTAAAGCGGCCATGGGCAAAGTGTGCAGTACATTTCACAACTGCTTTGGGGCAAATTAAACTGAGAAAATTGTAGCTGTCGGGTAAAATGTGTAGGTTTAATAGCAGTTAAGGGGTACATGTTGCGGTAAGTTTTAAGGCAGCTAAGAGGTATTACAATTTCAAGTGAATTTTAATCGAAGTTATGGGGCAAAATTTGCAGCAGATTTTAAAGTTGCAACTGGCAAAAATTGCAGTGAGTTATAAAATATCTAAGGGGTGAGAATTCCAGTAGATTTATAGCAGTGAATGGGTACAATCTGGGGTGGATTTTATAGAAGTTATGGGGCAAATTTTTCAGCAGGTATTGAAGTAGATGTAGACTAATACGTGCAGTGGATTTGGAAATGGATCTGGGAGAATCTCAGCAGGTTTTAAACCAGCAATTGGTTAAAAATTATAGTTTTTGAAGTAACTACGGGGCAAATTAGCAGTGAATTCCAGTGCATGTAAATCGCAGCTTGGTTTGGATACTCTTAAGGATGGTGATGGGTTTCCCCACGTGTCATCACCTGCTGACCCCCAAAATTACAGAGTAATATTTGTAGTTGTCTGTAAATCAGGGAGGAGCTTTGATACTTACCAGCACACACACACAACGCACCTTGTACGCAAAGTGGAATCATCTTTTCCAGTTTCTCCCAATGATGTTTCAAGTTCATTTCCACTTGTAATTTCGTCTGGATTAAGACAAGAAATCCGCACCTTCCCGAAGCCACAAACAAGTCAGAGGGCAAAATTGAGCTTTAAAACCTGGAACCCTCTGTGGATATAAAATATGAATATGATTTGTAATACATTTAAAGCAATGAAGGCACACTACTGTATTTGCAGTGAATTTTATGGAAGCTTTTGGGCAAGATTTGCAGTATCTATTAAAGCAGGTACAAGGTGAACTGTGCAGTAGGTTTGAGAATGACTGGGATAAAATCATCAGTAAGTTTTTTTTAAATTGCATGAATAATAGAAAGAATTTCACATTATATGAGAAGACCATTTGGCCATAATCATACCATTAAAACAGTAATCCATTCAGTCCCAATTAAGCCCCATACCTCCATACCTCTTCAAATTATAACTTATATTAGCAATCCTTAAATTTTAAACAGCAGCTTATCATGTTGTTGAGATGTCTCTAAGTGCTTCACAGGACATTTTACTACAAAATGTAATGACTGTAACTGTAGGCAACAGCCAACTTGTACACACAATGCTTCACAAACACAACAGCAGTCATCACTCTTGCCCTTGAAAAACCTTTGGTTGACCCATCTCTATTCTTATCTATCGCCCCATCTCCAACCTTCCTTTTCTTTCCAAGGTCCTAGAATGACCTTGTTGTTTCCCAGCTTCAATCTTTCCTCTCCCACCACTCCCTCCAATCTAGTTTCTGTGCTGCCCACAGTACAGTGATAGTCTTAGTCAAAGTTACAAATGACATTCTGTCTGTCTGTGATCATGGTTCAACAACATGATAAGGCACAATATCAAATGCAAGGATTATTACTATTATGTATGGGGATAAGACCAACCTCTATCTCTGCCTCCACCCTTGATTCCAGGAATACTGCTGTCCTGATGGACAGTCATCAGACATCAAGTCCTGGATGATAGCCAAGTTGCCTCCCTTGCCTCCTTCAAGAGATAAGAGCCTCCCTTGCCCTCTTCAAGGCACGAATCAAGACCCTCCTCTTTGACCGTATCTTCAGGCTCCCTCCTACCTCACTGCCTTCCCTCACCCCAACCCTGTCCCCCCCATACTCGAATCCTGATCTCCAACTGTTCAGCGCCTTGAGATGTCCTCCCGGCACTTTACAAATGTAATTTTGTTGTTGTTCTTGTTTCCTGAAGGATGGTTGGATTTGGTTGACTTGGTTTCTTCAGGAACAGTTGTGTTGGTTTTGTTTTGGCTCTGGACTACAATCCCAGGCTCTATCTAGTCTGCACTCTCAGGCTCTGTCTGGTTGAAGACATCAGGGACATTTGGCTCAGCTGTTGTAAATTTCAGAGAATATTGTACGGATTTTATTGTGAATCTGTGACAATGCTTTGCTCTACTGTGTGCAAGATGTTGTTGTTTTTCTTGTTTTCCTGGTGAGGTGCAGGTGGAGAGGGATGGGTGTGTTTTATTTTTATTTGTTTTATTTTTATTTTGTCTAATCTTGTGTGTACTTTGTTTCCAGAAATGATTGTCTGAAATTGATCAAAGACAGAACTGTTGTATCTTGTTTCCCCCCTCAGGAGCGGCAGGATGGAGTCAAGGAGCGGGTCGGGCAGACAAGATTTCTTTACATTGCTACATTGACTGTTGTGTTTTTTCTAGTAATAGGTATACCATCATCTTGTAGGTTTTGTCTCCAGACACAAACATTGATCAGTACATAAACCATACTGCTCTGTATTCCTGGCAGGAGTGGTTGGATGGAGTGCAAGAAATGATTGGGAGGGAAAGGACAAAAAGAGATTTTTTTCATTTCTTACAGATACAGTTGAATGTATTTGTTTTTTTGTGTGGATATGCCATATTCTTGTGTCCAAACACAATTGCCTGAATATTGATAAAAACTTGTACTTATGATACCTGTGTCCCCCGCGGTCACAATGGTGCACAGAGCAGTGAACAACAAGTAGCGAGTTGAAAAATGCCTTCAAGAGGCAATATTTACTCCTAACAGGGACAAAGAAAAATGTATCCACTCTGTGCTTGTAAGATGTGTTTGTTAAAGAGGACATGTAGGTTGCAGTTGTTAAAATTCTTCAACATATAGCCAAATCCGGTGCTGTTAATAGTAAAATTACTGATAGATTTTTTAAATTACATCTTTTTCCCAATTAGTCCAATTTACAAAGTCCAAGTTCAGGTTCACAGATATCCCAGTTAGAAAGTCTGATGTCTCAACCCAGTTGAGACCACCTTTGTCATTATCATGATCTAGTCCCTCTCACCAACCACTCTGCCAAAAGCAAGGAGGCAGAGCAGGTTCCAGTCTAAGTCAATATCGACACCTTTATCATGTCAATATGATTTCTCGATATGATCCATAACCAAGTGTTTATCTCAGCCAAAATATTGAGAAGCGACTGATTCAACATTCAACATTCAAGATCTATGTTAGACTGTGGAAAGTAATAGATAAAGCAATACATGCTTTGAAATAGGATTTGTCACGTGAGTTCATAATCCTGGTAATGAATGTAAAGAGTGATAGTGTTTGTGTGAAAAGATGGGTTTATACACACAACTGTGTAGAATTATCGATACAAGCCTTGAAGTGAAAGGAGGGTGAAAAATCAATATATTGTCGAATGGGTTAAGAAACATCTGTGGAGTGCTGTAGCTCAGTGGTTAGAGCACTCGCCTCACAAGCGAGAGACCTGGGTTCAATCTCCAGCAGCTTGAAACCTTGGGCAAGTTTCCTTACTCTACATGACTGACAATAATGCCTCAAAAAAAAACAATAATAATAAATTGGTCACTTCAGTCCACGACTGTTTGTGGGACACTGCTGTGCGTAATCGACTGCCACCTTTTGCCCACAAATATACAGTCAATTCACTTTACAGCATATTCTGTGAAGCGCTTTGAGATATCTAGAATATATGAAAAGCAGTATATCAAATGAAAGGATTATTACTATTATTTATTGTACCACCAAAGAATTTGCAGCAGCAGAAAGAGATTGTTCGGCCATTGTGACCATTGTGCCTCTGAAATAGCTATTCAGTGTCCAATTCTCCAGCCTTTTCCCCGTACACTTTTATATTTCTGCTTATTGAGACAATTTGCATCAAAGGAGTAAATTGTGTGGGAGGGGAAAGAACTTCTAGTAATGTAATAATTGTCACGTTACTTGCTCCAAATTTCCCCAAATTGCACATTTTGCCCATAAAATACACAGTGAATCCACTTTACAATATATTCTATGAAGCATTTTAAGATGTCTCAATGGTGTGATAAGGCGTGATATCAAATACAAGGATTATTATTATTATTTTTTATCCCAATATCTTCACAGAATATATTTTTATTTTTGTACCTCCCTACACTCTTGAAGACAGTAGCTCGTGCCAAATCTTACCTCTGGGTTAACTCCAGCTGGCTTTATGGATTGCAGTCAAGATTTTTTCCCTCAGATGATTCTTCTTTAGGGATGCCTAAGACTGCTGAGATAAGCTATCAGTGCAGACCAGGTATTAATTCTTAACTGGAGTGGTTGGCACGCAGACCTGCAGAAGCTCTTGCAGTGCCTGACATCTCCCATGTCTTCAGGAACATGGTAGTCAGTGTTAAGGAGACTAACAGAGCGGTAACTTTACACTGAGTATGCTAACTTCCTGCTGTCCGGACTTCCCAACTCTTCTCTCCACAAGGTGCAGATTATACAGATCTCTGCAGTTCATGTCGTCTCCCTTACCAAGCTCCTTGAACCAATCATCCCCATCCTCACCCAACTCCACTGGCTCCCCATCCCTCAGAGCATCAAGTTTAAAATCTTGGTCCTCACTTTTGAAGCCCTCCACAGTCTTGGTCTCGCTACCTCTGCGACCTATGAACAACATACCAACCTGTCCCCTCCATTTGGCAGGTACTGGCCTGCTTCATATTCCCCACTCAAGCTTGGTGGTTGGGCCTTCAGCTTTTCTGCCCACACTTTCTAAAACTCCATCCCTCCCTTGCTTCCTTTCAAGATGCATCTCAAGACTTTCCTTTTTGACTGTGCTATCGGACCCCTATCGGACCCCCTCCCACCCCTCCTACCCTCCACCCCTCTTGATTCCAACCCCCAGCTCGGGTGCAAACCATTAAATGTCCAGCACCTTGTGACATCCTTCTGACGTGAAATGCGTTGTATACATGTAAATTGTATTGTTGTTCTGTTAATATTATAGTTCCAATCCACAGATTAACTAAACCTCAGTAACATCACTAAACTGACCAAAAAAATTACACCTGGAGCAATTTACACAATTTAAAAACCAGAGTATTTGATGCATCATTCTCGGCCCATTTCTGCTCTCCTCCTGACCCAAACTCACTGCCAGTGTAATAAAGCCCCTGTACAGACTGGCAGTGTGCACTGGTGCTTGGGTTTCAGCTAATCACTCTGAAACCCCTCTGAGAATTTTTCATCATAAGATGAAAATGTCAAACATTAATTCCCTAATTAAAAGCTTCACCTTTTTTAAAAAAAGAAATCCTCCATCATTCTTAAAATAAGTAAATCGTCTGCAATGGCATTCACAGATATGGAATCCTCTCATTTTGAAATATTCATCCTTTGGAGCAGATTTCAACTCTGTATGTTTCCAAATTACCTATTCCTGAGAGATAATAATAATAATAATCCTTGAATTTGATATAGTATCTTATCATGTCGTTGAGATGTCTCAAAGTGCTTCACAGAATATACTGTAAAGTGAATTGACTGTGTATTTTGTGCACAAAATATGCATCATTCTGCATCCTGCAAAATACCCAGGATGCTGGTGGAGGTGGTGATTCGTTGTGAGTCTGTTCGAGGCTTACTCCTATTTTCTATCTCCAATATACATTTGCCTACTGAGCCACAGTAAATCCAAACTCTGTTCCCCGTTAGGCTTGCCTGCCTGCCTGTTTCCCACTGAGAGACAGGCAGGAAGGCCACCTGCTCCCAGGCTCATTCCAATACCTCTAGGTGGAGATATGCAAGAGCGATCCACTGCGGCAAGGGAACCAAAGTATCCTTTTTCTGGTGAAGTGTTCTTTTCTTAACAGCCTGACTTAAATCAGAGATTCATCCGATGGAAATCTTAATAATAAAAATCCTTGCATTTGATATAGGACCTTATCATGCTGTCAAGACATCTCAAAGCACTTGGAAGGAAGAATGAGGAGAGGCATTATATACTAAATCATAGAATTTCAAAGGGAATGCAGGAACAGGGAGACCTCGGGGTTCACATACACAAATCTTTGAAGGTGGCAGGACAGATTAATAAAGCTGTTAGAAAGCGTATGGGATGCTTGGTTTTATAAATGGAGGCATAGAGTACAAAAGCAAGGAAGTTATGCTGAACATTTATAAAATCACTGGTTAGCCTCAACTGAGTATTGTGTCCAATTCTGGGCACCACACTTTAGGAAGGATATCAAGGCATTGGAATATACTGTAAAGTAGACTACGGCAAAATAAGACAGTATTTTGTGGACAAAATCTTAAAACAACAACCTGCATTTATATAGAGCCCTCATCCCCGAGCATTTGATAGTGGGGAGTATGACACGTTACCGGGGGAAGGGGGAGGTGACCGTAGGCACAGTTGAAGAAGAAAGTCTTCAGGTGTGACCTGAAGATGGAGAAGGAATGCGCAAGATGGAGGAATAGAGGAAGAGTGTTACAGAGTTTCGGGGTATAGTGGCTGAAAGCGCAGCCACCAATAGTGAAACGGAGGGCCCAGGGGACATGCAGAAGGCTGCAGCCAGTCGACTGAAGGCAGCAGGTTATGGGTTGAGGAGAAAACAGGTCAGAGAGATAGGGAAGTACCAGGGCATGAAGGGATTTGAAAACGAGTGTGAGGATCTTGAAATTGATCTGTTTGGCGATTGGGAGAGTGGGGCCTGGCTAGAACTGGTGTGATGGAGGGACAGACTTTAGTGCGGGTGAGTATGCTGGGGGTAGTGTTTAGGATCAGCTGGATCCTGCGTATGGTAGAGCTGGGGAGACTGGAGAAGAGGGCATTTGAAAAGTCGAGTCGGGAGGTGACAAACACATTGGGGGGAAGGTTTTGGCTGCATCTGGGGTAAGCTACGGTCAGAGGCAGGCAATGTGGCGGAGGTGGAGGAAGGTGGTCCTGGTCAAGGACCAGCTGTGGGGAAGAAGGACAGCTGTGGGTCAAACCTGACACCGAGGATATGCACTGTTCAGTGAGTCTGATAGATAGGCCGGGGAGGTCAGAACTGCAGGATAGAAGACATTGATGGGAACCAAGCAGCATGGCTTCCGTCTAGTCAACATTTATTTGTAAGAAGTTGTCGCCCTGATGTCCACCAGACAAGCTGACAGAACATTGGCGGACTTGGAATCGATACTGGAGGAGGCAAAATAGATTTGTGTGCCATCTGCAAACATGTCGAAGTTTACCCCGTGTCTGAGGATGACATTGCCCAGAGGGAGCATATAGATGAGGAAGAGGAAGGGGCCAAGAATTCAGCCCTGGTGTTTGAAGAGACAAAGTGAAGGCAGTTTGTTAGGTAGGACTCAAACTATTCTAGTGCAGTCCCACTAAATGGATGGAGAGGTAGTGGATGAGGTTGGCGTGCTCGACTATGTCGAACACAGCGGAGAGGTCCAGGACCACCAGGAGAGCAGAGGGAACCCTGGTCACAGAGAGAGAGCGAGAGGACATTGTCTATGACCTTGACAAGCACCGTTTCCGTGCTATGGGCAGCGAGGAAACCAGACTGGAGGCGCTCAAGAAGCCAGTGGGCGGAGAGGAGGTTCAAGGAAAGCTGATCAGTGACAACCGGTTCCGAAGCTTTGGCAAGGAAGGGCAGGTGGGAAAGGGGATGGTAAGTTGTGAGGTTGGAGGGGTCAGGGGTGGGTTTTTTTTCACATATATATACTGAATGCTAAACCTGCATCGATTCCCTAACCCTAACACGAGGTGGTGCCCTGCCAACCCCTCCACCATTGCTTTATCTTAAAACTTTTACTGTCAAAAGGTGGCAGCGAAACGTACAGCAGCGGCAGCGGGAGGGGAGGAGGAGGAGGAGGAGGGGGGGAGGAGGGCTCTGAGACTATTTCGCCCATTGAACAGGTGCCTCTGTAACGCAGCAGTGAAACTCTCTCTCTGGTCCCACACACAACAGGGACCGATTTGAAAGCGACCTCGAACTTGACGACACCAGATGGGGATCCGCAGAGTTTGCACACAGAGCCCATCAGTGAGCACCGGCGAAGAGAGACAGACAGACAGACAGACAGACAGACTGGTTGGTTGGTTGGTTGGTTGGTTAGTTGGTTGGTTGGTTGGGGGCTCTCATCTCCAGCAGATGGTGCTCTCTGCCCGTCTGCCTGTCCGAGTCTGAGTGATTGAATGAGCAAAGCCCAGAAAAAAAAAGCCCCCGTGTGAGCATTAAGTGAGAGCTGCTGTTCCACCCCCTCTCCCTCTCCTCTCCCTCTCCCTCTCCCTCTCTCTCTCTGTCTCAGTCTCTCGATCCGAAGCCACACACGTCTTGATCTCTGAGTCCTGGGCTCCCGGGCGGCGGCGGTGTGACCGAGTCACTGCTCCTGCAGCCACCGGCCATGGCCAGTGCCCGGCACCGGAGCTCCCACTCCAGCAGATACCTGTGGCTTCCCTCCTCCTCCTCCTCCACCTCCACCACCAGCTTCTTCCTATGGCTCTCCCTCCTCCCCTCGGCTCTTGGCGGCATCTCCCTTCTCGCCGAGCCCGGCGCCAGCCCCGGGAGGCTGGGCAGGACCGGGCTGGGGCTGGGGCTGGGGGGTGGGGAGGCTGGCGGTGGCTCGGGGCTGGGGCTGGGGCTGGGGCTGGGGCTCGGGGGGGAGGCGGCTCGGCTCGGGAGGAGATCTCTGCCGCCCTCCGGCAGCCGAGAGCCGACTCTGCTCAGCACCTCCTTCATCCTACGGGGGGACGCTTCCCACAACCAGGCGATGGTGCATTGGACAGGAGAGAACAGCAGCGTAAGTCAGACACCGGCAGCTCTCTCTCCCTCTCTCTCCCTCTGTGTGTATATATATATATATGTGTGTGTGTGTGACTGGAGTTTATATGCACAGAGCTGTACAGTGGCTCTGATGATTATGGTAACAGTGGTAACACAGTGCAGCGGCGCCTTCCCCACAGCCTCGGGGTCGGGGCTTCACACACGGGATCGCTCGCGGGGGTTTGTCTGATTTGGACAACATTGTAACTTTGAAGGAGAACCTGAACCTGGAAACACTGACCGTGTGTGTGACTGTGTGTGACTGTGTGAGTGGGGGGGAAAGCCACAGGACACGCGGCCCGGGGGGGGGGGGGGGAGGGTGTGTGTGTGTGGGGTGTGGGGTGTGTGTGTGTCGGGGTGTGTGTGTGGGGGGTGTGGGGGGGGGAGTGGGGGTGTGTGCGGTGTGTGTGTGTGGGTGTGTGTATGTGGGGTGTGTGTGTGTGTGTGGGGGTGTGTGGGGGGTGTGTGTGGGGGGGGTGGTGTGTGTGGGGGTGGTGTGTGTGGGGGTGTGGGGGGGGTGTGTGTGGGGGTGTGTGTGGGGGGGGGTGGGGTGGGGGGTGGGTGTGTGTTGGGGGGTGTGTGTGTGGGTGTGTGTGTGTGTGTGTGTGGGGGGGGGGTGTGTGTGTGTGTGTGGGGGTGTGTGTGTGGGGGGGGGTGGGGTGGGGGGTGTGTGTGTGTGTGTGGGGGTGTGTGTGGGGGTGGGTGTGGGGGTGTGTGTGTGTGGGGTGGGGTGGGAGGGGTGTGTGGGGTGTGTGTGTGTGTGGGGGTGGGGTGGGGGGGGTGTGTGTGGGGGTGTGTGGGGGGTGTTTGTGGGGTGTGGGGGCTCACAGGCAGTCACTTGGGGCTCTGCTGAGAGGGTCACAGACTCTCTGAACATCTCTCACTAAATGGTGCGAAAACAGTACAGTAGAAAGTAACTTAACTTTGTTATCCCCCTTCTTCCTCCTCTCTTTCCCGCCCCCAAAAACGAAAGTGAATGGGGAGCACAGAGCTGTTTGTGAGGGGGAACACTGAAGCTGAAACGCGCCCCTTTTGCACACGGAAGTTCGGGCGCCACATGTCAAGTTTGCGCATCTTAACCCTTTCGGGTTACGCCACTTCGCTGTTGCACGAACTTCGCGGGATCTGAGCTACACACGTGTGTGAGTGTGAGAGTAAGTCTGTGTCTGTGTGAGTGAGTGTGTGTGTGTCAGTGTGTGTGTGAGAGTAAGTCTGTGTCTGTGTGAGTGAGTGTGTGTGTGTCAGTGTGTGTGTGAGAGTAAGTCTGTGTCTGTGTGAGTGAGTGTGTGTGTGTGTGTCAGTGTGTGTGTGAGAGTGAGTCTGTGTCTGAGTGAGTGTGTGTGTGAGTGTGTGTGAGAGTAAGTCTGTGTCTGTGAGTGAGTGTGTGTGTCAGTGTGTGAGAGTAAGTCTGTGTGTGTGTGTCAGTGAGTGTGTGTGTCAGTGAGTGTGTGTCAGTGTGTGTGACAGTGTGTGTGAGTGTGTGAGAGTGTGTCAGTGTGAGTGTGTGTGTCAGTGTGAGTGTGTGTGTCAGTGTGTGTGAGTGTCAGTGAGTGAGTGTGTGTGTGTGTGTCAGTGTGTGTGTGTCAGTGAGTGTGTGTCAGTGTGTGTGAGTGTGTGTCAGTGTGTGTGAGTGTGTGAGAGTGAGTCTGTGTGTGTGAGTGAGTGAGTGTGTGAGTGGGTGAGAGTGAGAGAGTGTGTGTGAGTGAGAGTGAGCGAGTGTGTGTGAGTGAGAGTGAGAGTGTGTGTGTGAGTGAGAGTGTTAAAGCTGGGATTATCCGCTGTGTGCGCAGATCACTGGCAGCACAAGCACAGCACTGGCTGTCCTGGGCTCACTCACTCACTCACACACTCTCTCTCTCTCTGCTTGGTGTCTGCTCTCACTGCCCCCCCGGAGTCTGTGTGTGTCACGCTGGGGTGTAACAGTGTGGCGAGGGGAAGATACAGTTTGATAACTCATTATAATATTATTAGAATAATAATAATCCTTGCATTTGATATTGCGCCTTATCACACCTTCGAGCCGTCTCAAAACTCCTCACAGAATATACTGTTAAAATGAAATGGACTGTACATTCTCCAAGCAAAAAGTTTTGTCTTGGGAGCAATGGCTCACCATGGCTCATGTTAAATAAGTCTAACCTCCTCTCATTCAAACTGTTCAAGCTACCAGAGGTTCCTGTGTGAAATGGGAACACATGGCTATGAAATACAGACTGAAATTTAACTGGTCGGGAGGGAGGGAAGGAAGGAAGGTTGTAAAATATTGACCAGGCAAGGCTGTCCAACAGCAAAGTACTGCAATACTCTGGATGCTGATTATTAAAACATCACTGAGCAGATTATGCACTCGGGGACGTTAAATATAAATCTTGGTAACTCTAATCTGAGGGGTTGTGTGGAGTCCTGAATTATTGTCGATTCAATTTTGCTAATGGATTTTTGCAGGAAGTTAAACCTGCAAAATAATGCAATAGAAAATCCCAAATAATAATAATTCCTAAAGCATTTGATAGGATTTACTGGTCTGTGAAGTACTGCAATTGATCATAACGTGAAAGAGCTATAGCCAGTGTTGACACAGTGTAGTAAAGGACAGCAATCCAATAAAATAAAATGAGAGTCCTCCATACAGCATGTGTTTTCCTCCCTCCGCCTTGAAGGTAGTGACTCATGCTGGGTCACAGTTGCCGGCAGCTCTCAGCTATTTTGCCTAATTGACCATTCTTCATGTGTGAGGCTGGACCACTGTGATGGGGGTGGTTACACAGCCCAGACTGATAATACCCTCTTTTTTTTTGGTCAGCCAGGTATCTGACACACGCGAAAACCCATCATCGTGCTTATGAGTATCCAAATTAAACAGAGTTCCATGCATCCCATCTCTGCATGCAGATTCCAGAGATGTTTATAGGAATGTAATGTAATACACACTCTCTCCCTGGAGGGATGCATCCTACTTACCTAATTCCAGAAAATATTAGGCACTAGTTGGCAAGATCCCCAGAGTGTGTGTTGGGGTATGTTGGAGTCTAACCGTTCTTGGCCCCCTCCTTTTCCTCATCTATATGCTCCCTCTGGAGCTTGACATTAAGAGCAAGCTTTCCCACCTTTTGTCCAGCTAGGACCATCTTACCCAGAAGGGCTTTGGCTTGTGAGAGCATTCCCACCGTCTTCCTGCCCGGAGCTCGGGCATGCGAGTGAAGTATTGTTGGATTGTAACCTATAGGGTCCGTTGCCCAGGCTCCAGTGGTGACCAGAGCTGGAGCTTAAGCAATGTAGTCGTTTTTTTAAAAAAAAGCTTCTCTCTGATGTTGAGTTTACTGAGGTTGATGACTAACATTATAAAGGCATTGTTGGTCACAGCAAATCTGATCACATCTGATCAAAGTCCAATGCAACAACAACTAATGCACATTTGATTAATAAAGACTGAACTTGTGACAGTCTGAAGTGAGGCAAATCTGTTTCTCTGTAATTTTAATAATTTAAGCTCCTTTAAATTAAAAATGAGACAGAGATACATACCACTGTCGAACAAAGGATGTTTCTTATACACTGACTTACATCATGTATATGTGCACATTCCTGTCACTCGTTCTGCCTTTTCCTTTTTTCTATTGTAATTGTAATGGCCACAGCTCCACAATCACTTCCCATTGAGCGCCATTCTCTTGATACATGTTAGATGTATGCTGTTTATCTTGTACTGAATGACCAACATCACATGTACAGGCATTGCTTCAATCCCTCCCCCATCACTTTGTGACTTCTTCTTCAGTTCAGTATTTTAACATTATACTTCATTTTAAATATGCTTCATGTGCATCAATCTCATTTACACCGAGGTATATTTGCAAGTTACCATTCACTAATATGGAACTTCTTCAAAAATTGTACACACAGTCAAAGAAAAACAATCCAGAAGCCGCTTGATACTATATAGAGCCCTTTCAAGCCTCACTGAAATTGACAATTACATAGAGCTGGCCTGTATTTGTGACCTTAGCATCTGTTCTATTGTAGCTGAAATTCCTATACAACAGTGATGGCTATAAACATTACTTAACATTTTTCACAATATTCTACTGTGTAAGTATGTTTTAGTCAGCCACCATATATGCTCTAAGGAGTTATAGATTTAATAAGTACTGGATAAGCGTACAACTTAGACCTATTTTCAAACTAACTTGACATAATAAAGAGTTCTAATATGTATCAATTGAAATATAGCCGCATTTGTGATCACTGTTACCTGTAGTGGCTTTGGAGATGTTGGTGGGATTTCCTCATTCCCAAAGGTGCTAAAACTAAAGCTGACCAGAATTTCAGCCCAGGGATTTCTTAATTATGACTCCGAACTGCAACGCAGTCCATAAAACTTTGTTCTGAAAGTAGATCGAGTCACAGCGGTTTCTGCAGGTCTGAGTTACAGACGTGCTTTGGCTACTGGAAACAATCCCAATTTGTGACTTGGGAACCCTTATTGAGAAATCTTGTTTGAAATTACCATTTTTTCGTTAGACCCCGTCTAAGAAACATGTATTGTGAATGATTTGCTGCGGTCCTGCTTATCGGTAATTTTATTTGGTGTTGATGGAACTCAGGAGATTGTCAGAATCTGCTTAAATTGCATGATATAGTCACAATGGGATCTAATTAGTGAATTTCACAAACAGCATTTGATGCGTTAATCGGCACTCTGACTTGCGAATATTGAAAACTAACCAATTTAATTTGGGGCTTACATTTTCAATTCCATTTAAAATTTTATAAGGTCTATAAGGTCATCTTTTGAAACATCTCCTCTCAAGACTGACGAGCCCTAACTTGTCTAATCATTGCTCATAGTTCATTCCTCTCATGCTGGGGATCATCCTTGTTGCTCTCTTCTTAACTGCCTCTACTGTCTGGGCAGCCTCCTTATATTGCGACAAGCAGAACTGTGTGCAGTACTCTCGGTGCAGACTCAGTGGGGTT